GCAGATTTGGATGAAACGACGAAGATGGGTCTAAGTTGAACCGCGAGAAAACTGCAATACCACTCTTTACAATTCAGATTCCTATATTTATCTATCTGTGTAGTTGGAGTACGTGTTCCGGCTTCAAAAGTTGTGCTCCAAGTCGAATAGTGGACTTTGGAGGCTGCACCAGTAAAAAAGTCAGATCTATCCAAATTATGGCCTGACCCCGGGTCGAACGGGGGATTTCCTCAGGAACGGCACACAAGACCAACCTATGATTGTGGAGGACGTGTTGACAGTACACCACCACCGGGCGTTGTGTTACGGTGAGTAGTATATACATAGCTGTGGGTGTTGAAGTTTGGTCGAGATTGAACGTTTTTTTGGGGGACTCAGCTAATTGCATTGAAGGTTTCTTTCTCAGGCTAGATCTGTTTTGTAGAATATAAGTACCAGAGTATGTATGACTCCAAGACCAGGCTGAAATCATCAGAAAAGGAGTTGCCGAGGGGATGAACCGAGCAAAAAAAGGACATCGCAGAATGTTCATCGTCCAAGCCCCGACCCCGAGTCGAACAGGGAATTTCTTCATGATTACTGTCCTCGCAATTTCAGATGCGTTGACAATACACGTGTACTGTTGGGGATGCAGTGAGTAAGTGTGAGCAGTTGGTTGGAGCAGTGGGGTTGAATATCCTTTTGGAGGGGAGGAGGAGCCACTAGCATCCTCGGAGGAGACCTCAGGCCAGAGTAGTAATACAATATAATCACAGGTTGAAACCCCCAAAAAGGATGTGCGAGGATGAGGGTGAAGTCAGCAAAACTGAAAAATTCAAGTACAAGGCCCGACCCCGAGTTGAACGAGGGATTTCCTCTGATGTTCGGAACGAAATGAGATAAAATCATGAGGACGTGTTGACACTACACCATGGGGCATTGCATACTTTTGGTTGTGCAGTGATTATAATACGGCTGTACAACTACGAGCGAATTCAACCATGAATTGAAGATTGGATTGTTTTGGGGGTGTGCAGTATAAGTAAATCTAGAGTTCTAAACAGATCTTAGACTGGTGTCGAGAAATCTTGTAAGCAGGGTGTACCGGAGTTGAACCACTTTTCAGAAAGATAAAAAAATCCCTCAAATACACAGCCCGGCCCCGAGTCGAACGGGGAATTCCAATTTGAGAGGATGTGTGACAATACACCACCAGTCCACCGGGCACTCCATACCATTGACTAGCCAGGGTTCTTTATAGGTGTTGGAACAGAATATGATTAGATGGACGAGCATTACACCGCGATCGGGACCTACCGAGAGGTTGAACCAAGCTTGGAAGAAAAAAGAAAAAAAAATCAGAAGCTGTTTGACGAAGGCCCGACCCCGTTGCGAACAGGGCATTTCCTCGAGAATTCAAGTTCAAATGAAATTGAGAGGACATGTTGACATTACACCACTGGGCACTCCATACCACTGGCTAGGTAGGCTTCGTTGTAGGTGTTGGAACAGAGTATGATTGAATCAGGACCTGCTGAGAAGGTCAGAACAAAAAAAGGAAAAAAATTCGACGCATGCTACAGACAAGGCCCGACCCCGAGTCGAACGGAGCATTTCCTCAAGAATACAGACTATGCTACTCAGGAATTCCGAGGATGTGTTGGGACTACACCACCGGGCGTTGCGTATCGTACCTCTGATTATGGGTTGTGCAGCAATTAGTAGTGGGTGTTGGAACAGGTTTTGCGCGTGGAGTTGTATTTTTTACGCATCAATTACGTCGAGGACGGTTCCCGGAAGCGGGAGCAGTGACCTCGCAGAATTTATGCAGGAGATTAGACGCAAAGCAGCCTGGTACCCGGAAGGAAAGAGTAGAGGGCGAGTTCCAGAGGCCCAGAAGAAAAAATTGAAAAAAATAAAATAAAAAATTCGCCGTATACCCCATCAAGGCCCGACCCCGAGTCGAACGGGCATTTCCTCAAGACTTTAGAAGACACACGCTATTGTAAGAGGACGTGTTGACGATACACCACCAGGCGTTGCATACTGTACCTCTGATTATGGCTTGTGCAGCAATTAGTAGTGGGTATTGAAACAAGTTTGCGCGGGGAGTGGGATTGATTTTGTTACGCGCCAATTACGTCGAGGACGGCTCTCGGAAGCGGGACAATGATCCTCGCCAAGTTTATTGAGGAGATTAGACGAAAAGTAGCCCGGGACCGGAAGGAAAGAGCAGAGGGCGAGTTCCAGAGGCCCAGAAGAAAAAATTGAAAATAAAATAACATAAAAAATTCGCCATATGCCACTATTAAGGCCCGACCCCGAGTCGAACGGGGCATTTCCTCAAGACTTTAGAAGACACACGCTATTGTAAGAGGACGTGTTGACGATACACCACCGGGCGTTGCATACTGTACCTCTGATTATGCCTTGTGCAGCAATTAGTGGGGGTTGGAACGAGTTTGCATGTGGAGTTGGATTGATTGATTTTTTTACGGGACGTCAAGGAGGGAGGGTCCACGGACTGCTGCTGTTGGCACATTTAGACGAGAGTTCGAGTTGGCCCGAGTCTCTTGGGACCGTGATCCTTGCGAATTTATTTAGGTGATTAGACGCAAAGTAGCCCGGGACGCGGAAGGAAAGAGCAGAGGTCGAGTTCAGGACCTGCCGAGGGCTCAGAATCAAAAAAGTAAAGATTCAACGCTCACCAAACAAAGGCCCGACCCCGAGTCGAACGGGGCATTTCCTCGAGTCGAGCGCCACTATCTATGGTAAGAGGACGTGTTGACAATACACCACCGGGTGTTGTGTTCCATACCTCTGATTATGACTTGTGCAGCAATTAGTGGTGTTGGAACAGGTTTGCGCGTGGAGTTAGATTGCTTTTTTTTTTTCGCGTCAATCACGTCGAGGACGGAGGGCCTGATTCTGTTGGCACATTAGAGCGTATTTGCAACACCCTCGACGCAGTTTTAGGGCGAAATTTGATGAGGCCTGTCAGAAATTTGATGACACCAAAATAGGATACCTTCGACTTGTAAAGTCTGCCAAAAGGCATGAAAAAATGCTAGATAACCCGAGTTTTTTTTGTGTGGACACACCACAATAGTCTCGAAGGCACTGGCCACTTTCAGGAGAGAAATTATACGGCGAAAATTGGTTTTGGCTGCTGAGAAGGACGGTTACGGCACATCCATCATTTCTCGAACCTAAAAATGATGGTCGATGCCAGAAATTTGACGGTCGATTTTGGGGGGTGCAAATACGCTCTATTTAGACGATAGGATGTTACAGGCAGGCCGAAACAAAAGGAACTACAGCTAGATACTCTCATAAGGCCTGACCCCGGATCGAACGAGGAACTTCCCTTGACCTCATATATACAATTGAAATCAGAAGGATGTCCATATGTGTACACCATCAGACCGACATGAATATTGGGCAAGAAGCTAGCTGTGATGTGGAGTCTGAGCTGCCAGTCTCTCGGGACAGTGATCCTGGCCGAATTTATTGAGGAGATTACTATAGACGAAAAGTAGGCTGGGACCTGGAAAGGACCAGAGCAGAGTAAGCGCAAACATTCGCGTTTTCTTCGAGTTCCACGACAGCTCTGGATGGAAGTCTACGAGACAAGGTCGAGGTTGCGAGTCGGAGATTGGTGAGAATGATTACGTGAGCTTGGGTGGCAGTGCACACCTCTCTGCAACGACCCACGACGACGACGGCGTAGTTTCCCCGTCCCTTGCTCTCGCTGCTGTCATGTCCTCCTCCGTCTCCGCCAACTCCAACTCCAACTCGAACTCTGCCTCCAACTCTGGCTCCAACTCTGCCCCATCCCAGCCACCGCAAACTGCCTCCAACGCGCCGTCCATCGCCCAGACGGACCCCGCGGGCGGCGTGACCATCACCCAGCCCCCGCAGACCGCGACCTCTTTCTACAAGATCGCACCGGGCAACTCCATCACCATCGGCTGGAACTTTACCTATGTCATCGCCACCCCCACCAGCCTCACCCTCAGCGCCGTCTGCGACAACGGGAACACCTACCCCGTCGGACCCGACCCGAGCGGACACCTCCCCGGCACGGCGACGCAGGTCGTGTGGGATATCTACTCGTACCAGGAGGTCTGTCTTGGAAAAAAATTATGACGTGGATTGGACTTGATATCGTTTTCCGTGCGAATTCAGGCCCACTCAGCGACGCCGCTGCCGCAGACGTCGTGCACCCTGCACATGTGGGACGACCGCGGGCCGACGGCGACCCAGCGAGCCGGGTTCATGAGCCCCAATACGGCCCTCGCGTTTGCGCTGTATACCCCGCAGGCGTATACACCGTTAGCAAGTGGTGAGTTCGCCTTTCCAATCTACCTCCCCTTGCCCTCCGTCGTTCTTGAGCCCGCACTTGGGTCTTCATGGACTATATCCCTCACTCCGTGTCCTTTTCTCGCCCGCCTCCCCTCCCGTCTCCCCCCTAGCCTCGCGTCCACCATTCCTTTCCACGTCTCTTCCTCCCCGTCCCAATACACTTCCTATACTACGCTGACATCACCCCCAGGCTGGACCTGCACAGGCTGCGGCGGCGCCGCCTCCATGCGCCCCATCGCCGGCGCAGGCGTCCTCCTCACGATGCTCGTCATGCTCGTCTCGGGGTGGCGCGTGTTGCGCAGGGCGTAGGCGTTCGTGCTTCTTCCTTTCGCCGGTTCCGATTCCGATTCCGCTTGCGTCGGGACTCGCGGACGACTTTTGTTTATCGTACTCTTCCCCTTTGCACGTTTTACATTTTAGTCAGCTTTTAGTTACTCGTTGGTTAGTTAGTTTTTAGTTAGCATGTTAGGTTAGGTTTCGGACTCACGACGCACGCACGCACGCACTACGCATGGACTACGTATATGTAGATACACTGGCAGACAGACATTGGTATAAACGTAATTGGATGTGGATTATTAGAGCTTGGGTTTGTTACCGTGTATCCTCCCGGGGAGGGGAGTCGAGAATATGTGCGCAATGTGGAATGGATGGATGGCCTGGTGGTGTAGTGGTAACACATCCTCTAAGAATGTATCTGTGTCGATGGCTATTTAGGAGGAAAAGCCCTGTTCGATTCGGGGTCAGGCCATTGCTGTCTGTGGCGTCTTTTTAGTTGACGCGACTCGTTAAGAAAAGAAATTATAAGCACTCTATAGTGGAGCGCTGCCAGTGAGAGGTAAGGCCTGGTGGTGTATTGGGAACACATCCTCTTCAATTCATGGCAGAAGAAACAAAAGTTGAGAGGAAGCACCTCGTTCGATTCGGGGTCGGGCCACTGTCAAGCTCTAAATCCCTTTTTTGAATTTTGTCAGTTGAGTTTAGCTTTCCTCGCAAGAAAAATCAGTACTCTGTAGCCGGAGCTCTGACACTGAGAGGTAGGGCCGGTGGTGTAATGGGAACACATCCTTCCAAAGTAAACTTGGAGCTTGTATACTTCAGAGGAAATGCCCTGTTCGATCCGGGGCCGGGCCATGCGCTGATTATCGGATTCTTTTTATCTCAGCACGAGTTCAACTTCCTCGCAAAAACAAAAAAGTAAGCACTCTAGTATAGTGGAGCTCTGCCAGTAAAAGGCAAGGTCTGGTGGTGTATTGGGAACACATCCTCTTCAATTCAACAATTCAGATGATTAAAAGTTGAGAGGAAGTACCCCGTTCGATTCGGGGCTGGGCCATATGTGGAGACGAAGGATTTTTTTTTGGTTCAGCACGCCGAGTTCAACTTGCTCGCAAAAAATCTGTACTCTATAGCCGGAGCTCTGACAGTTATAGGTAAGGCCTGGTGGTGTAGTGGGAACACGTCCTTAGTCTGTAATGAAGATTGAAGTGTGTAAAAGGAAAAGTCCCGTTCGATTCGGGGCCGGGCTATTTTTTTTTTATGTCAATTTTTAAAAATATCAGTTAGTCGCAAGAAAAATTAGTACTCTGTAGCCAGAGCTCTGACAGTGAGATGCAGGGCCTGGTGGTGTATTGGGAACATATCCTCTTCAATTCAGGAAGTTCAGATGGTGGAAGTTGAGAGGAAATACCCCGTTCGATTCGGGGCCGGGCCATTATACCGTTCTGTAGTTCTTTTTTTAGTTGGTGCGACTTCAGTGCTTCAGCTTTCCTCGCAAAAAAAAATAAGCCTCTGTAGCCGGATCTCTGAGACTGATAGGTAAAGCCAGGATCAAGTTCAAGCTACGAGAAACGACCTTCGAAGGTGTCTGTCAGAGAAACTAAGGGATCAGGATTATAATATATCGAGTTTAGATTGGAAATTGGCCATTCTGGTGCATCGGTTGGTTTTTAACATGAAGTCTTCTTGACATCCACGAAAGGCACTGGGCCCGTGTCGGTGAGATTCAATGTTAAAGTTTGGGCCGGAGACGTCGGCCCGTGTGTGGGGTTTGATCCGCAAGTTCGGTATCACAGATTAACGATGCCCGTGATGTCGGCCTGCAACCTAGATCCGGCAATGTTCGGCACAACACGGCATCACCAGGCAATTGGCGACACTTTGGGATTGCGAACTTGGGACGTAGGCCGACGTAGGCTTATTTTCGGAACCCGTAGCTTATGTGTAAGCGGCAGCTATATGTTCCGCGTAAACAGGCAACTCCGTACCGTTTGAAGTTGCACCGAACCGGTAAATTCAACTTGATGGCACGGACCTGTACTTAGCTGTTTTAGGTTTGATGAGTATTAGATCCAGCAGAGGCTCGCCTTTGAACGTACGTATATAAATAACTCAGACACACAATCATAGTGAGTGCCTATGTAAGTGATAGGTTGATGTGGAGTTGAACGGTTGGGAAGAATCAAAGGTTTGTGTCTGGCCTGCTTCGCGGTTGCAAAGCTGATAATCTGGTGTAAAGTATTGGTCTGAAAACTGGGACTCTGATATGCTGTTCATTTTGTAAAAAAAATCAAATCATATATATGTGTAACCTACCCAACATGAGGTCTCTCAAAGATGTGGCACCACAATATGTGACTCCAACCCAACATATTCGAACTACAGCAGATATTTGAGAGGACCATATTGTATGTGATGTGAACCACAATATATGTGAGACGAGGCACCATATATGTGCGATGAGGCGCCATATTTATGAGAGAGGGCACCATATATGTGATCTCGGGTGGTCTCCGCTGTTGTCTCCGGTGCTCGGGCATGCGTGCCCATCGTCCGAGACCGGGTTCGGGGGACTCCGCCCCCCGGCGGCGTCGTGTCAGTCGTCGATCAAAGAGTTCGGGCAGTTCCGGGTCCGGACCGCAATACCCGACTTATCTTATCTTGTCAGATCAGATCCATCAACGCATCTGCTTTCCTTCAACAGTCCTTCAACCTTTGCCGCAAGCTTACCCCTTGCTCTTTTTTCACTTCCCAGCTCTGCAGAAACTGATGTTGCAGTTGGACTGAGGCTTTGTGGATAAATGACCTCAGTCAAAGCATGGCCCTCAAACCACTGCTGTATGCATCAAGCTGCTGCTCAGCACTCATCGCCGACCTTTGGTTGCCCCTGGCGGCAGCTGCTCAGAACTTATCATGTGGAAATGTTAGAGCTTGAACCAATGTCAGATTAGACTCGAAACCAGTCATGTTTTTCGCCAGAACAAATTTGACGACAGTCAATCAATTCGCGGGTGAAAAAGAGACTGGGGCATAATAACCGGTGGCTAGTACGGTCGCAAGTTGCCGTGATCAATTGTGACTTAAAAAAAATTCGCTTTTGGTTCTTGCCCCAACCACAGATACAGATACAGTTCAACTCCGTGTCGAACCTAGCTACTCTCCGTTGTGAAAGTGTGTTCCAGTTCTCCCTGCACATTGAAAAGATGAGCCTCTGCCAGATCTAATGATCATCTGCTCATTGAACTGTCTTGTATTTTTGAATGACCTTTCGTAAAAACAGCTACGCTACAGGTTTGTACAGTCAATGGGTTGGGGCAATTTCGCAGGGTACAGTGTTGCCTGTTGCGGTACACATGGCTGTCTATTTATGCCTAGAGTACAGGTCTCAAAAATGAACATGAGTTTGCAACCCCAAGACCCTGCTAATTGCCCGGCGATGTTCGGCATGTGTTGCTGAACATTCCCGAACCTCCGTGGCATACTACGGCATGTCGCCGGCATCACGGGTATCATACTGCACTCGCGGATCAAACCTGGCAACTCACGGGCCGACGTCTCTGGTTCAACACTCAATGCGGAAGGGTTTGGCCGGCATAAGGTGTAATTCATATACCCGCACACTGGTTCAATGCCCCGTATATGCAAATTTCTTTTTTTGCAGACCAGAGGTCTAACATATCTAATCACTAACCACTGAACTACTCAGGTTGGGGACCATACTGGAGTAAGGTGAATCTGTAACTTCCCCCATTGAAGTTTGTTTTCTTCTGCACCCATGTCAGCTCTCTTCTCCGTGCTCTTGTACAGTAGCTCCAGTGACTCAGGGCCCTCCACAATGGTCCTCCATTTCTGGCGCTCCAACCAGTGCCTTTGGCATCAGGAAAACCGTAGCCCAGATGTAGCTATGAGCACTATGAGGCCCTATGCAGCACTGCATAGTCTTGCATAGTGTCTCATAGCTACATCACAGCCACAGGTTGCTACATAGTACTGCATAGTACTGCACTGCACACGCATTTGGATTTCCTGATGGGCCGAGAGAGAACCTGGGAGTTAACGGTTAACAGAAGCTGAAGCAACACTTAAAAGTTTTTTTTTCTGCATCAGAAGCCATTTCATTTTAACAGTTCCACTCTACTTGCTCTTTCCTTCCAGGTTCCGTTCGGCACTTTCTTCTTCCTGTTTTTCTTCATTACCTGTGGAAACAAAAATACACCCAGTTCACTGACACGTGCAAATCATAGTGTTCGAGTACATGACCTAAACCGTCGCATCCATAGGATGCATGGGTCTCAGAATCGTTTGTGCCGTACGCTAGATCAGCGTATAGCTCGCAGGAAAGATGCATTGATGGATCTGATCTGACAAGATAAGATAAGTCGGGTATTGCGGTCCGGACCCGGAACTGCCCGAACTCTTTGATCGAGCTGTTCTCCCTCAGTCTTTCATCCCAAGTAGCGGGAGACGGGTGAGCCCCATTATATATCCACTTACTTCACTTACTTTCCTGTACTAGTACGCACCTTCCGCACATTTACAGGGATTCAATTTTTCCATCTGATATAGCGGGAGACTGAGGTGCGCGCGTTGCGCACATTTACAGATATTGACAAAGCCATTGCTTGGAATCTGAACTGGGATTTTCGAGAGTTCATATTTGATGCATCCATGGCCTTCATCCCACAAGAACTTATCAACTATATAATCTGGCAACTCGACGATAAAGACTGCCTCCGAGCGTGCTCACTCGTCTCCTGCAACTTCCGCGAGCCAAGCCAGCGCAGCCTGTTCCCCTCGCTCGATCTCGGCCGTTCTGTTCGGACGCACGAAGCTGCAGCCAGTCTACTCGCGGAGTCACCACATATTGGCTCGTATGTCAGGAAACTCAGCATCCAGCTCGCGCCGTCCGATGCGCCCTCGAATGGCCGGGGTGTAGAGAGCCTCCGCGCGGTGCTGGACAGGCTCCCGAACGTTACCCAATGCACCGTGAGGGGGGACGCATTTGGCTGCCGCTGGGATGGAATCAAATCTCACGGGTCTGCCCTGCTTGAGTTTATCGAGCGGAACAAGGTCGCGGAGTTGCGTGTCCTGTTTATGAAGGACATCCCACTCCCCGTCCTCGCCCGTATCGTTGCCACCCCACGTATCGTATCCTTTTATCACGTCGTCTGGAACGGGGGAGAACATCGAGGAGAACTCGCCGAGGTTTTTGCATGCAGTTCCCCAGCTATGGAACAGCTGCGTCTCGAACAATCCGACAGTATCGGCATTCTACTCGCGCGCCCGGAATTCGCAATCCATCGGGCGAGGCTTCGGCGATTGGGGCTGGAGTTGAAGCCCGACAATGCGCTACTGACTGCCGGTTCCGCCACCGTTGACCATGTCCGTTTCAGCTGCATAGGTGCGTCATTCGGACCGCATCATATTCACGATCTTAGGCCACGCTTTTTTCGATCCCATTTTTCTCTTCGTTTTTTTCGCGTCTTTCTTGATGAGCCCTGGACATTTCACAAAACCGCCAGGTACCGTCTCTTGCGTTCCTCCCCGCGCTACGCTCCATAGACGTCGGGGTCCAGCGGTATGACGACGGCACGCACTGGTTCCAGGACACCCTCGCCGCCTTCCTTGCGTCCAGTCCCCCCGGCCTCGAAGAGCTCGGCATCACGCATCTCCCCATGGCACTCCGTAGTCCGCCGAAGCCGCCCAAGATGCGCCCGGTGACGCTCACCGCGATTGACGACCTGCTTGCACCCACCGCGGTGCGCCTCCGCTGGCGGATCAGCTTTACGGGGCCCGGGGATACCGGGCAGCGGACGCAGTGTCTCGCTGAGTTTGCGGGGACTCTGCAGGCGGGGATGCCAAGGCTTCATGCTGCGGGGCAGCTGATCGTCGCGAGTGACGCGCTGGGTGGCGACCGAGGCGAATGGGCCGTGAGTTGAGTAGCGGTTCGCTTCGAGCTGGACTTGGACTCGGGGAGGCTCTCCTTTGACGATGGGAAAACTGACTCTGAGCTCAACGAAGTCTATCTTGAACCAGGGTCAATTTGCAACTTCAACAGTTCAAGCTTCCCCATCAGCTTCGAAGTTCGTATTATACTGTTGCTTAAATCTGATTTCGGGTTTGGGGCCGTGAGATTGAGGCTCTGTGAATTGTCTGTTTTATCGACTCTCCTACCCTCATTTTTGCGTGCATAATTCCTGCAAAGTAAACACATGTTTTTTTGGCCAAGCTCCAACAGTCTCACCTGTGAGAGCTCAGAGAAGAGTTTACAGTATACAACTGGATTATCATTTCCGCGCCCACAAAGGCCCCGTGGGCAACATGTTCAGGACATTTGAGAGGAAGCACCCCGTTCGATTCGGGGCCGGGCCACAAGGGAGAAGGAATATTAATTGCATTCTTTTTTGGTTCAGCACGAGTTCAATTTTGTCGCAA